AGTTTGAGAGATCAGCCTGGACAACGTAGTGAGAAATCATCTCTATTTAAAAAACAAAAAGAGCCGGACACAGTGGTGTGTGTCTGTAGTCCCACTTACTCAAGAGGCTGAGGCAGAAAGATCGCTTGAGCCCAGAAGTTCTGGGCTGTAGTATCCTATGCCGATTGGGTGTCTGCACTAAATTAGGAATCAACATGGTGGCCTCCTGGAAGTGAGGGACCACCAGGTTGCCTAATGAGGAGAGAACTGGGCCAGGTCAGAAACAGAGCAGGTCAAAACTCCCATGCTTATCAGCAGTAGCACTGAGTCTGTGAATAGCCACTGCACTCCAGCTTGGGCAACACAGTGAGACCCCTGTCTCTTAAAAAAAAAAAAAAAAAAGTAAGCATGGAATCCACTTCTCTGCTAACTTCTAAAAATTAGTCTTAGTTCTTTCTCTTTGCCAGAGGAAGCAGGATCTAATTTTAAAATTTAAAAGTACTTCTATGTGGCTTCACATAACATACTTTGTGTTACTACTAATTCTTCTGAGCTTGATATGAGAACGTAATAGATATTAAAAGGAGGATGGTAAAGATAAACACTACTTCATCTTTAAAAAGTAATTTTAATGAGGTTTATCCAAGTATAGCTTTTTTTTGTTTTGTTTTGTTTTGTTTTGCTTTTGAGACGGAGTCCTGCTTTGTCACCCAGGCTGGAGTGCAGTGGCGCAATTTCGGCTCACTGCAACCTCTGCCTCCCCAGTTCAAGCAATTCTCCTGCCTCAGTCTCCCAAGTAGCTGAGACTACTGGCATGTGCCACCATGTCCAGCTAATCCAACTACCGTTTTTGTTGTTGTTGTTGTTTTTGAGATGGAGTCTTGCTCTGTCGCTCAGGCTGGAGTGCAGTGGCGCGGTCTCAGCTCACTGTCAGCTCCGCCTCCCGGGTTCACACCATTCTCCTGCCTCAGCCTCCCGAGTAGCTGGGACTTCAGGTGCCCAGCACCACATCCGGCTAATTTTAGTAGAGACAGGGTTTCACCGTGTTGGCCAGGATGGTTTCGATCTCCTGACCTCGTGATCCGCCCGCCTCGGCCTCCCAAAGTGCTGGGATTACAGGCGTGAGCCACCGCGCCCGGCCTAATCCAAATATAGTTGTTTTTTTTTTTTTTTTTTTTTTTTTTTTTTTTTTGAGACGGAGTCTTGCCTGTCACCCAGGCTGGGAGTGCAGTGGCCGGATCTCGGCTCACTGCAAGCTCCGCCTCCCGGGTCTACGCCATTCTCCTGCCTCAGCCTCCCGAGTAGCTGGGACTATGGTGGCGCCGCCACTCCCGGCCTCCCGGCTAGTTTTTTTGTGCATTTTTAATAGAGACAGGGTTTCACCGTGTTAGCCAGGATGGTCTCGATCTCCTGACCTCGTGATCCGCCCGTCTCGGCCTCCCAAAGTGCTGGGATTACAAATATAGTTTTAAAACATTATTTTGACGTCTACACTATTTACATACTTTACATATTCAAAAATAAAATCCTAAGTAAAAACTGAAACCTATGAACCATATCAAATTGGTAGCATAACCAAAGAAAAGTATTTCAAGTGACACAGTACTCATTATATATTCTTCACACAATATAGTCTAAACATGAAAATGCAAAGAAATCTTAAACTTTATGAAGCTTATTGATATTAGTAATACCAGCACTACAATTTTAAAATGATTTTATGTATACAGTGGGAGAAAGTAAATAGGTTTATTAATTTTTTTCTCTTTTGAGACAGGGTCTCACTCGTCATCCAGGCTGAAGTGCAGTGGGGCATGAACATGGCTCACTGCAGCCTCAACCTCCTGGGCTCAAGCAATCCACCTGCTTCAGCCTCCTGAACAACTGGGAACAAAGGCACACGCCACCATGCCCGGTTCATTTTTAAATTTTTTATGGAGATGGGGTCTCATCATGTTGCCCAGACTGGCCTTGAACTCCTGGGCTCAAGCAATCCTTCTGCCTCGGCCTTTCAAAGTCCTGGGATTACAGGCACGAGCCACCGTGCTTGGCCAGCTTATTAACTGAATTAAATACCAAGATTTTCATTTAAGACAAGAAAAACATAGAGTCAAGGAAGAAAAAGTCTGCTTGCTAAATAGGAACTGGAATATCACTCTGAACTCATGATTAAACAAGCAAAAAACTTTTTCTTAGTTCTCTCAAAGTACCCAGAAGCAAAGATACTGCAGCAGCAATGAATATGAAAAACATCCAGAACTTGGTTTCTATATATGATTTCTCACTAGAAAGAACCAAGACTCCTTGGATGAGCAGCCCTTTCCAGAGGTGAGCCAAGAAAGGATAAGACAGGCCCTGGAGTAACTTGTATCAGAAAGCACTCCAAGGTTAACAGGGCGCGGGGGTGTCAAACACACACGAGTCTGCTTGAAATGGATCCTACTGACCAAATCTGGGACAATTTGGTGATTAAAAAGAAAAACGACTGTAACTGGTTATAAAACAAGGAATAAATTAAAATCCATCAGAGTCCGAAGTGGTGTCATTCACCCCTCCCCCAAAAAACATCTGATATGTCATCATTGGGGGTGGCTATTTCTCCAGCTCTTTACTCTGAATATTGAAAAGTAAAGAGATTAAATTTAACATTTAATTTGCATTTTGGGGAAGAACAATAGTTTATTTACCTGCACTTAATGAAGGAAATCTCTTCCTTAGAGAGAACCTCCAATAAAACAACTGATTTAAGCAAAAGTCATCATGGGTGCTAAGCAAAAGGTTGTCAGAACCTGGGTATTTGCTTAGTGTCCCAGTATTACCCCAAGATTACATGTTAATCACAAGCTGGCAAACCACACCTTTACAACAGATCAGCAGTCAGGACTTTCATCAAATGGTCACATTTAGCATCATTAATAGTGTGGGAATCTGACATTATGTGCCTCCTATATTATGCAATAGGAGGTACACAGCATCACCTATAAATATTTTTGCCAAAGGAAGTTTTACTTTAAGCTTATTAAGCCTTCCTTTACACCTAACTTCCAGTTAATAGGAAATTCAGGGAGAAAGAGGAATAAATGAAATGACATTAGGAGGGCACAAATCCAGAATGTGGGTATATTTTACAAGACAACTGGTTTGGTCAATTAGGTGTCAGGAAAAAAGGAGGGAGGGAACATTCATCCTATTCAATTTCCCCTGCAAAAAGGAGAGGGGATGGATACTCTTCATTTTACAAAAAAGACTAAAGACTTAATCACCAAATGCAATCAATGCATGAATCTTGACTGACTACAGATGGGGGCGGAACCCTCAAAGACACTTTGGAACAACTGAGGAATTTTGAAGATGGAGTTGTTAATTTTAATAGGCATTAATAATGATACTGGGGTTAGTAGGAGAATGTCCCTATTTTGAGGAAACACATGTTGAAACATTTGAGGATTAAGGTGTTTGCAGCTTACTTTCAAATAATTACACACATACAGAGAAAGACGGGAAACAATATGGCAAAAATGCGAACCACTGAATTGGTTATTCATTGCATTGATTAGCATTTTTATTCATTGCATGAATAACGGATCACAACTGTATAGAACCAACCTCTGTAAGACTAAAATTTTTCATAACAAAGTTAATAAAATTGTACTTCTATTGAGAAGTACAGTAGAAAGTACACGAAAGTACACCTATATCGGAATTATATTTGGGTTGAAATCTAAAATATCTTACTAGTCGTGTGTCCTTAAGGCAAGTTATAATTCTTCGTATCACTGAGTTTGTCACTTCTATAAAATTCAAGTAATAATATCTGCATCACTAGGTTGTTCTGAGAATTAAGTACAAATGCAAAAATGCCAAGCAGTACTGCACAAAATAAATAAATCTGGTTTTCATAATCAATATATTACTAATAATCCCAAAATACAAAACTATAGTACAACGTTCATTATATTCACATTCTATGAGAAGGGGAAACTACATTAGGTAAAATTATTATTAATCCACTGACAGTCCCAGTGAAGTAATGGGGGAAATGAAGATTTATACGGTATTTTTTAAACCCAAGAATTCCAACTGAACACCTAGAGAAAAGGAAATCAAAATTGTGCAGCTTGCTTCCGGTATTAGCCGATCTCCAAATAAAACACTAAGAAAATAAGTGGAAGTTACAGAGAATTTCTTCCTGACTTCAAGACATTATCTACTTACATGCTAAAAAAGAAATTAAGTTTTTGTCTTCATTTCTGTAAGTTCCAAAAAAAGCACACAATTACGGGGTTTTATTCTAAATTCTGCTTGGATTCATAGAACTCACATGGACGCAATTTCCTTTAATCAGTTCTAACGTACCTGTCATTTCTCGAGGTAACCCCTTTTTCTGATTAGGCCAGCAATAAAACGACTAGATGCAGAGTGATCCTCAGGAAGGAAAGAAAAAAAGGTGTTTGTGTGTGTGTGTGTGTGTGTGTGTATATACACACACACACACACATATATATATATTTTTTAAAGAAGTGCCATCTTTTTCTTTCCTGTACCAGAGAAAAAGCAAAAGGGGAAAGGAGGAGAGAAAAAAAAAACAGGTCTGAACCTCCCGGGTTCGACCAGGTGAGAGGTGGCAACACCTCCGGACGCTCCGGGTTAGGGTGTTGGGCAAATGGGCGTGCAAAGGACGGGCAGCTCCCCGGAAGGTCGGGGTAACTGCTCCGGGACCGTGGGGCCCAAGGCCGGTCTCCTCCCAGAAGGATTAAATGCCACCGAGGGGATCCCGTGGGCTGTCTCCCGACGCGGACCAGGGTGACAGACCCGCTCTCCACTCCCTCCGGCGCCAGGTGGGGGCCACGCTGTGTCAAACCCGGGCAGCGTGCAGGGGCCGCTCCCCGCGCGACCGGAGCCCGCCCTCCCCTCCCCGTTACCTGCGGGCGGCGGCGCCGGGCCCGGAGGCCTGCTGCTCCTCCTCCTTCTCCCGCCAGGCTGGGGCGGCAAGGCGGCGGCGGCGGCGGCGGCCCGGGGGGAGGGGGCGGAGCGCGCGGCTCGCTGCCTCTCTCCTCCCCCGGGAGGCTCAGGGGCCCCTATCTCGGGCCGCCGCGCCTAGGCCCGTGAGCAGCCTGTGGTTGGGGCATGGCGGCACAGCCCACCGGCGTGCCCGCGAGGTGGGAGTGCGAGGAGGCGGGGAGGGAAGCACCCCCAGCGCTCGGAGGGGCCAGAGGGGAGGAGCCAGGGGGCCCGGGAGCCGCGCGCGGGCGGCCGTTGGGGACGGTTGGCCGAGGGCAGGCGGCTGTTTGGGGAGCGCGGCGACGGCTCGCGTGTTCCCAGCGGGGCGGGGTGGGGAAGGGGAAGGGGACTGAGGGGAGGGGAGGGGGAGGTTGGGAGGGAGCCGCCGCCGCGCGCGTGCGGGCCGGCGCCGCCGCCGTTGCCGCTCCGCTCACTCCAGCCTGTTTGGGGGCACTTTGTTTGTGTCCCACAATGCTCTGCGCGGGCGGCCTGACTGGGGAAGGGGAGGAGAAGGGGGCGGGGCGGAGCGAGCTCGGGGGCGGGGCTCAGGGCGGGGAGGGGAAACGTGATGATTGCGCAAGCGCAGAAAATGGGCCCTCCTGACCGTCGGGACTTGCACTGTGGGTGACTCCGTCTCCTTAGACGGTAGAGCCTGCGTGACCCAGAGAGGCCGTGAGTTTTGACACTGTATTTTTGCATATGTGTTCACAGGTGCAGATTTACGTTCATATGCCCCGTAAGCCCTGTCCCATTTGTCCTTCCTCTAAGCCGCCCTCTCACCCAGTTCCCCAATCACACCTGAGAAGCATTTCTCCGCAGGAGTCACACTTACAGCATTTTTTTTTTTTTCGAACTAAAAACATAACTCCTATTTTCTCGGGTAGTTTTTGTAGCAAGGTCGAAATCGAAACACTTCAGCCCCTCTTCGGCGAGAGAGGTTAGTTGGTAAGTTGCCCATTGTTCACCCATGGAAACAGGCCTGCCAAGGGCCGCCCCGCAGACAGGTGAGCCCGCGCCCCCGTCGTGGGCGGACTGCGACTTGCGGCAGGTGTCTGGAGTGCGTGGCTCCTCGGGCCTCCTCGCAGTGCTTGCTGTCTGCCATTCTAGCACTTGCCTCGGTGACCTGGCAGGACGTGCGGCTCTTGAGATGAGTGGAGAAATGGACTCCCAGGTCCCTCTTGTTCCTCCAACACAGGGACACCTAGAGCTGCTCCAAAAGTATACCTAACTTCTTCCACAACCGTGCATCTGTCATTTTTACTACACCATCACTTACTTCCCTGGCCTTCCGGGAGGAAGTGTGCGGGCCATCGCGAAGTAACCGGTGCCGTCCGGGGGCTTTGAAGTTCTTGGTCAACTGCAAAATCAATCAACCTCGGAGTTAAAACTCCTAGGGCCCTGAGTCTTGGTTTCCCCTGGCCGGGCGGGCGAGCGCTCTCCGCACCGCCCCCGGAGGTCATACGGGCGCCCGGGCCTGCAGGCGGCAGCGCCCCAGGTGCCTGGGGGCGGGCGGGGTGCGGGCAGGTGCACCTTGGGCGCTTTGTGTTTTCCCACACCTCCAGCTTGCAAACCGAAAGACTTCTTTCCAGAGGGTTCTGTGCGAGGTGGGTGGACGTCCCGCTGAAGTAGAGTGGATTTTCCTTTTGAAACACTTGGCAGCATCTCACATTAATTCACTCTTTGAGAGACAAGCAGCCAAGCACCTGAACACCCTGACTCTTGAAATCTTCTTTAGGAATAAAGGCAATAAAAACAACTTCTGTTTTTATAGTCCTTCGCAGTTTCCAACAAGTTTTCAAGTATGTATAATATTATCTAATCCTCACAGCAACTGTAATTCACAGGTTTTATCACAAGTTTCTATTATTATTCCCACTATCATTTCTATTATTCCCATTTCAGAGATGAGAAAAATCAGAAAGATGCGAATTAGGCCCAGAAACTTTTGCACTAAGATTTGAAGAGGGGAAGAGATAGAAGGCGGTATGCTTACCTGGGAGAGGACTGGCGGCCACAGAGCAGGGCTCAGGAAAGGGCAGGAGCTGGGGCCCTGGTAAAGAATATGTGAGAATGTATGTAGGTGGTAAGCAACTGGACGAGAATCAGGGTGGAAATGAAGTAGTCAAATCCTATCTACCTCTTCTAGTGCCTTTAACAGGATAGTCAGTCAGTAAAGACCATGAGGCAAGTCTTTTCTAAGTGTTTCTCCAGGGGCTGCGGTGGCAGCTCTTCAACTACTACACTGACACAAAAATTTGCTTTCCTTTGTAGTACACCTTGAAGTCAGGTAGAGGAATGCCTCTAGCTTTGTTATTTTTGCTCAGAATTGCCCTAGCTTTTCAGGGTCTTTTGTGGTTCCATACAAACATTAGGATTGTTTTTTCTAATTCTGTGATGAGTGTCATTGATATTTTGGTAGGGATTGCACTGTACCTGTAGGTGGCTTTGGGTAGTATGGGTATTTTAACAATATTAATTCTTTCAATGAGATAGATGAGATAGATTTCTTTTTTTTTTTTTGGTTCTCTTCATCTTCTTTCATCAATATTTATACTTTTCCGGGTAGAGATTTTTCACTTCTTTGCTTATATTTATTCTAGGTATTTTATTTTGCTTTTTTATAGCTATTGTAAATGAGATTGTTTTCTTGATTTCTTTTTCAGATTGATGGCTGTTAGTATATAGAAAATCAACTAGGCTGGGCACGGTGGCTCACGCCTGTAATCCCAACACTTTGGGAGGCCGAGGCAGGCAGATCACGAGGTCAGGAGTTCAAGACTGGCCTGGCCAACATAGTGAAACCCCGTCTCTACTAAAAATACAAAAAAATTAGCTGGGTACGGTGGCATGCGCCTGTAGTCCCAGCTACTTGGGAGGCTGAGGTGAGAAATCGCTTGAACCCAGGAGGCAGAGGTTTCAGTGAGCCGAGATGGTGCTGCTCCAGCCTGGTGACAGAGCAAGACTCCGTCTCCAAAAAAAAAAAAAGAAAAGAAAAGAAAATCAATTGATTTTTGTATCCTGCAACATAACTGAATTCGTTCATCAAAGTTCTGAGAGATGGAGTCTTTAGGTTTTTCTAAATATAAGAACAAGTCATCTGCAAGCAAGGATAATTTGACTTCTTCCTTTCCAATTCAGTTGCCCTTTATTTCTTTCTCTTGCCTAACTGCTCTGGTGAAGACTTCCAGAACTATGTTGAATAGGAGTGGTGAAAATGTGTATCTTTGTCTTGTTCCAGATCTTAGTGGAAAGGCTTTCAATGTTTTCCTGTCTAGTGTGATATTAGCTGTGGGTTTGTCATATATGGCTTTTATCATTTAAAAACTTTTTTTCCCTTAGATTATTCCCTTGTCTCCTCTGCTTTTCCCACTTAAAATTTTTTTGGGAGACAGGCTCTCATTGTGCCATCCAGGAGTGCAGTGGTGCAATCATAGCTGAATACAGCCTCAAACTCCTGGGCACAAGCATCCTCTGGCCTCAGCTTTCCAAATAGCTAGGACTACAGGCGTGCCACCATGCCTGGCTAATTTTAAACCTTTTTTGTAGAGATGGGTCTTGCTGTGTGAACTCGGGCTCAAGCGATCCTCCCGAAGTGCTGGGATTACAGGCTGAGCCTTTTCCTGCTTTTCTTTCTCATTTAACATTTAAATATTTTATCATCCTTCCACTCCACCCCCACCTCAGGTCTGAAGAATTTATTAACTAACAGGTGACTGTGAGGCCCTTAAGAGTTCAATGCTAGATGCTTGGAGAGGGTGTGAGAAAAAATTCAAAGAAGATTAACTTTGCAGGAGCCCTCTTGTCTGTTTTGGCTCTGGGCAGGGTCAGTTTCTGTGGCTTCTGCAGCCTCCCACCTTTTTCCTTCTTGAGCTGGTAGAGACTTGCCTCTGGGTTGCTGGAATATACACACCTTTCTTTGACATTAGGTTAAATAATACTGCTGGGAGGATTTTGTGAAATCAGAATCCTGTACACAGGTGAAACAAACAAATGTAGACAGTGTGAGGAACCTTTAATTATTAACCCGGTGTGGATGATTCTGAGGAATTCAAATTCCAGGCAAATTCCAGGAGTTATATTTCAGCCACGAGCTGTCTGGGGGACTAAATTCTGCAAAAGATGGCACTTCCTTGTGGAAGACCATTAGAACTGAATGGAAACTTAGTTATTTAGTCCAAAAGCATTAGCATTAAGGCATGAATGCTTTCTACCTGCCCTTGCTTCCTTATAGGATTATACAACTACATATATAAAAAATTAAATTCACTCTCTTACCCTAAAATGTATACGTCTTCTAGTGTTCACATTTTACCATTCACCCAGTGGAGCAGATTGACTTTGCTACTTCATTATTGTATCTCAATTCCAATCCATCAACAAGTCCTGTTGAATCTGTCCCTCTCCGCTGCCGCCGTCCTAAAATGAAATGATACTCGCTTATGCCTGGAGAATTATAATGCCACTCATGTGGTTTCCCAAATGCACTCTCCCTTTTCCTCATTCTCTACGTGGTCACCAGAGTTGTAATGCATAGCAGTCATGTCAGCCAACAATGGCTTCCTATTGCTCCCAGGATAAAGTCCCAAACCCTTAACATGGCTTTCACACCACTACGCCATCTGGGACCTTTCAGTGTCTTGAGCTTCATCTCTTGACTATGCTTTTTCAGGAAACATGCCAGTTGCAGAGGCGGTTTTGTTTTTTCTTTTCTTTGTTTTTTTTTTTTTTTTTTTTTTTTTTTTTTTTTTGAGACAGAGTCTCACTCTGTTGCCAGGCTGGAATGCAGTGGTGGATCTCGGCTCACTGCAGCCTCTGCCTCCCAGGTTCAAGCGATTCTCCTGCCTCAGCCTCCTGAGTGGCTGGGACTACAGGCGCACACCAGCTAATTTTTGTATTTTTAGTAAAGACGGGGTTTCACCATATTGGCCAGGCTGGTCTCAAACTCCTGACCTTGTGATCTGCCCGCCTCAGCCTCTCAAAGTGCTGGGATTACAGGCATGAGCCACCGCTACCGGCAGGTTATTTTTTTTTTTTTAACATCTTCTAAAATGCTATGCTCTTTCTCCACTATGTATATTATTTCTTCTGTGTAGAAATACTGTACTCCATTCCTTAGCTGATATCCTTTCAATCCTCAGGTCTCTTCTTTTACATTTAG